TTGGGCCTTGCTTGTAAGCACAATTGCTTAAGTTAGCTTGTACCCTAAGTTAGCTTGTAATGGGTAATTGTTAAAAATCCCATTAGGTTAGTGTGCTATTTTTCTTATAAATAGGATGCTAGTTTCTCAATCTTGGCATAAGGAAAAATAGGAAGATAAACTCCTAATTTCAAGAGAGAGAGGTTATTTTGTTATTCTTGTATGCTTGTAATATTGTTCTAAAATTAAGGAAAGAATAACAGTTTATAACCAATCCTTATTGTTCCTTGTTGTTTTACCTTGTTATCATTGTTAACCCTGACCCTTGTGTGTTTCTTGATCATAAAGAAACCGTTTATATTTTGTTTCAAGACATCAGGTTCACAACAATATCATAATATTAAAGAATGATACTTGTCAATTGGTCTTTATGAGATCAATAATCTTTTATACTAAAACCGATAAACATGTGCACTTGTGGCTGCATCAATCACTCAAACGAACACGATCATGCGAGCTTTCACACTTCCTCTCTTTCACACTTTAAAGATTCATGTTTCTCCACCATTATCTTTGATTTTAGTATCACATAAGAACCTTGAGTATTCTTAGTGAGTCTTGATATATCTCCATGTTAATTACCATCACTTGAGAGCTTGAAAGTTTAAACCACTAGTGATCATACACCCTGAGCGTTCACTTAAGAGTCATTGGACTATAGTGTTGAATTTAAACAAATTTTTAGCTTGATTCGGGAGGATAGTTCAATCAATCATCTTGTGCATTTTTGACTGCTTAAGTTATCTTCTGCAATTGCTTGACTTCAAGTGTCGTCATTATCAAAACTTAGCAGCTATTGATTGACTTGCATCCTTCTTATCCACAAGTTATACCATCTTGGATCAATTCATTTCCTATACTTGCAAGCACATAGATCCATATTTCTCACTTTTTTTTGGTCTTGCAATCTAGTTTCCAGAACTTTACCTTCCCATTAAATGTAAATAAGTAGAATGTCACGGGTTTGAACATGCACTCATGAAATCACATGCCCTTTAAAGATGAAAAAATCATACATTTACATATATTCTTTGATTAAACATATTAAACAAATTGTACTTTCCTCCCATTGACACCTAGAAGTCTTCCCAGGTCACGCTTGGGGAAACTCGCCTTAAGTACATGTGAGGAACTCACCCTAGGTATCGTTGAGATAATCATCCAAATATGAGGAAGCGATTAGGTTATATCATTTTTCAATTTCCAAACTCCCCTGCTTAAGGGAATGTGTATTGGTATATTTTTGAAGTTTCCATAAAAGGCGGCGTAATTCACTTAGGGGTGGCAACATAACATGTCACCCCTGTCAGCTTCTTGGCCACCAATTTGTTGGAATGAACACCCATAATCTGGTTATGGTGCCCATTTTGTAAAAGCGTGGAAGAGACATGTCCCTATTCATAACGACATGAGAGAGGGAGTCAAAAAAAGGTAGCCACGTTCTCCCAAGAAACTAGGAAAATAATTACCCTCTTTCCACGCTTTTGAGAGTGGGTAGTACTTTCTTAGAGCTTAAGACGCATGCCTAAGTGATTCCTATAAATACTTCAACTATGAGATTGAAAAGAACATTATATTCACCCGAAAACACAATATACAAAACTTCTCACCTCCTTGTCTGAGTTGGCTCTAACACTAAAATAACCACAAAAACCTTTAACAACCCTACAACAGAGTGAATTGTCATGTATTGTACTTTTAATAAGTACAAAGTATATAATTTATTCACCTTATGTAATGTCAAATTACATGTGAGTGAGGTTGAAACCATAAAATCCTATTTATTCTCCTTTAAAGAGTAAAATTATTGCAATTAGGATAGATATATATATATGTGTGTGTGTGTGTGTATATATATATATATAGACACACACACATACATATATATATATATATATATATATATATATATATATATATATATATATATATATATATATATATATATATATATATATATATATATATATATATATATATATATATATATATATATATATATATATATATATATATATATATATATATATATATACATATACACACATATATATATATATATATACACACACACGCATATATATATATATATATATATATATATATATATATATATATATATATATATATATATATATATATATATATATATATATATATGAGAGGAAGATAGTGTAATATGAGCATATCCCCAAGGAGAGAAAAGTGTAATATATTTTGTATAAGAGGGAAATGTATATTTTAACACAAAAGGAAAGGATAGTGTAATATTAATATCTCTCTTCAATGAGAAGTGTAATATATTTTGCATAAGAGAAAAGGAGAGTGTATATTTTAACACAATAGAGTAGTGTAGTGTAAGTATCTCTAAAAAAAAGGGGGAGTGTAATTTACTCTAATTTTAATTAATTATACTAGTATTAATACAACTTGGATCGGATATGAATTTCAGTTGATAATTCTTTAGCATCCCAAGCGAGCCCAAAACATTCCAACTATATTTGATTTTTTTCACTTTATTCATTCCAACATTTAATAAAAGATCATTTTTTATTGCATCCTATATATTTTTTTTAGAAACAATGTAAAATTTTAAAAATATTTAAATTTTTAGAGATATAGATCCGAATGCACTACAATACACACATTTTATTCGTTTTTTAGTGAAACCTAAATTTCATAAATAAATTTATTCTAAAAATATATATCCATACAATTTCCGAAAATATATTTTCGAAAAAATTTAATGCTAACTTTTATATATAGCATGCATCACCACCCTATGTTAATTAAATAACATTTTATTAATTAATTACTTAATATTTATTAGTTTAATATAAAAAAATAGTTATACAATTATATTGATTAAAAAAATATTGAATAAAATTAAGTAGAATAAATTAATAAATAATTTTATATTATAAAAAATTTAAATAAAAATATATTAAGTAAAGAAATTATTATTTAGTTATTAAATGATTGTTTATTAAAGCAAAAAAATTATTTAGTTAACATAATTTTATTTAAAATTAATATTTTATACAAATAACTTAATAGGGTACAAAAAGTGTTTGTAACTTAATATTTAAAATATTTTTTCTAAAGTTATTGTAATTTGTTATACAAAGCAATTAAATACTAAGTAATTAATATAAGTTAACATAAATATTAAGTAATTAATTAATACTAAGTAATTACTAATTTTTTTAAACTATTATTTCATATTAAATCAATATAAATACTAAGTAATTAATTAATAAAATATAATTTAGTTAACATAAGGTGGGGGATGCATGCTACATGTAAAAAGAACATTAAATGTTTTCGGAAATATATTTTTTAAAATTTTTTAGAGATATATTTTCGTAATAAATGTATACATGAAATTTGAGTTTTTCTAAAAAAACGAATGAAATATATGTATTAGAGTGCGTTAGGAGATACATCTTCAAAAATTAAGGACAATTTTAAAATTTTGCATAGTATTTAAAAAATATATAAGGTGCAATAAAAAATAGTCTAATACATCAAAAAATCAAATCAAATAAAGTGGATCTCAAAAGAGTCCCGAATTTTTTTCCATCCTTATATCAAACTACAAATAACATATTCATAAAAGATAAGTTGTGAAGGACATTTAATTCACCCGGAAACACAAGTATATAGAAAACTTCTAATCTCCTTGTGGGAGTTGGCTCTAACACCACAATAATCATAAAAATCTCTAAAAGTCCTACAAAACAACGGATTGTCACGTATTGTAGTTTTAACAAGTATAAAGTATATAATTTATTCAACTTAAGTAATATCAGACTGTTTGTGAGTGACTTTGAAACTACGACATCCTATTTATTCTCCTATAAAGAGTAAAATTATTGCAACTAGGCTACTTAAAAAACATAAGAGGGAAAGATAGTGTAATATTAATATATCCCTCTGAAATGAAAAGTGTAATATATTTAGTATAAGAGGGGAGTGTACATTTGAACACAAGAGAAGAGAGGAAGGGAGGGGAGGATAGTGTAACATTAATATCTCTCAGAAAAGAGAAGTGTAATATATTTTGCATCAGAAAAAGTGAGAGTGTGTATTTTAACACAAAATAAAAGAATAGTGTAATATGAGTATCTCTCCAGAAAAGGAAGTGTAATTTACCCTTACATTTATTAATTATACTAGTATTAATACAACTTTGATAGGATATGAATGTATGTAGACCATTCTTTAGCAAAAGCATCTATAATATATAACATATATAAAAACAAAATTTGATTTTTTGTGTAGCCTAATTATCTATCAAATTTACTTTTATTTTAAAATATGTAACTTATACAATAACTTACATTCAACCATTATTATCATCGTTCATATAACTTCTAATTAATAATTTTTTATATAATTTTTATTTAAAATTAATATTAAATAAAAAAATATCATTTATATTTATACGTACAATAAAAAAAGTTTAAAAGAACACTTAAGTGTCTGTCTATACGCCAATAACTCGTCCGAACACTAATAAAAGATAAGTAAAATAGTTAATACACAAAACTCGGTTTCTAATGAAAGCATTAGGAGGGATCCAAATGATGTTCTTACTATTATAGTACTTTTAATGGCAAAAGTATTTATTCAATGCAACTAGTAATAAACCATGGTTTAATATTTCAAAAACTCCTAAGTAATGTAGGTCAGCTTCTCAAACTCAAACTACCGAGTGTGAGATGAAAATGTTTGAATAGTAAGAGTTGAAGTTTTGAATGAAAAACTAAAAGACCAAACAAAGTCAACTAGTAACACCTAGACTCAATCAACAATTTCCCTATCTGACTCGTTCTCTTCTTGTTCACACACATCACATACTATACTATATATTACTACCATCACACATTCATATCCACAACAGCAAAACACAAACTCAACGCACACAACAAACATCTATCAAACTTTGACCACATCTCATGGCTTCATTACAATCCTTTTCATCTATTCTTTCTGCTTCAAATTCATCATCTTCTTATTCGTCAGAAAGAATCATTAAATCCTCTTTCCATGTCCCAAAACTTTCTAAAATAATTTCTATAGCTCCAAAAACAAGACCAAGCAGAAAGCTATTTGAAGAACTAAACGGTCAACTCACACACACAATCATCCAACAAAATGATCATCATTATTCATCCAATAATTCCCTTTCTCCATCATCCAAAACAAAAACCATTTCCCAACTCTATGCAATTCTCGAATCCGTTTCCGACAGAATAGAAATGCATCAAAACATCTCCGAACAACGTGACAACTGGAACTCTCTTCTGTTAAACTCCATCAACATGATCACACTCACCGCCTCCGCCATGGCAGGCATTGCAGCCATAAGCGGCTCCGGCGCGTCACTTTTGGCCCTCAAACTATCTTCCGCACTTTTGTTCTCAGCTTCAACTGGTATGTTAGTCATCATGAACAAAATCCAACCTTCACAACTAGCTGAGGAGCAAAGAAACGCAACAAGATTGTTCAAAGAGCTTAAGTCTCACATCGAAACCACAATAGCATTAGGCAATCCCACTGAGAAGTATATAAAGGATGCAATTAAAAAAGTTTTAGCTCTAGATAGAGCTTATCCACTTCCTTTGTTAGGAGTTATGATTGAAAAGTTCCCTCAAAAATATGAACCTGCAACATGGTGGCCTGCAAAAAGCTCACCTAGAAGAAGCAACGAGCAAAATAATGAAATAAAACAAAAAGGGTGGAAGAAAAATGGATGGAATGAAGGGTTAGAAAGTGAAGTAAAAGATGTGTTACAAGTTATGAAGAAAAAAGACATGGAGGATTATGAGAGATTAGGAAACTTGGTGTTGAAGGTTAACAAAACATTAGCAATTGCAGGTCCTTTACTCACTGGAATTGCAGCTGTCGGGTCCACTTTTGTTGGGCAAGGTTCATGGACATCTATAGTTCCTGTTATGGCAGGAGCATTGGCTACAGCTGTTAATTCTCTTGAACATGGTGGACAAGTTGGGATGGTTTCTGAGTTGTATAGAAACTGTGGTGGATTCTTTCAAATGATGGAAAATTCAATTCAAGAGAATATATTGGAGGAAGATGAAGAACAAAGAGAAAATGGAGAGTTGTTTGAAATTAAATTGGCTTTGAAGTTGGGAAGAAGTTTGTCACAGTTGAGAGATCTTGCTAGAAAATCAGCTTATTCTCGCGTTGAGGGGACTACAGTAGATGAATTTGCTAGCAAGCTGTTCTAAGTTTTTTTTTATTGTTTTAGTTTTTCTTGATCTAACTTAACCATTCTTTGATTCAATTATGATTATTTCTTACAGATTCATCCGTGTTCTTTTGATATTTTATTGTGTACATGTGCTTGTAGAGAAATAATTTGTTTGACACATTAAAATCGAGAATTTTTTTATCGGTTGACTAACCCTGGTCAAATTATTACAATGCTACATTGTCGTTATTTGTATAGGAATTTAGGAAACCTATAACCGTGTAGACTTATTTCTAAATAAAATTAAGTATAAATATATACTCCCACAAGTATTTGTATATAAACAAAAAAAACCATTTGTTTTGAAAATAAAACTTTTCCATATGTTAGCATAGTTATACATAAACGATACAAACATAAAATTTTGGAAATCTCAGTCATGTATCAACGACATAATAACGAAAATATTAGATTGTCATATGTAAGAAAGATGTTGTATGACTCGAAAACAATATCAAAATAGCAAGGATTACTGCGTTGTCACCTGAATGCAATGAAAAATAAGTAAGTGTTTCTATATTTTCATTAATGAATGTTGATAAAAAAAAGTTAACTCATGAGAATATGATTCGTTTTCGAACACGAAATATATGCACATTTATTGGAAAATGTATGAAAATAATATGCGCTATGGTTAGGAGGAAGATCCATTTCACTTGTCTATAAAAAACAAAGTGGGTGGGTGAAAAGACAAAAGAATTAGAAACCCTAGAATTTAAGCTTGGGTACATCAACAAAGTTAGATCGAGAAATAGGTTAGGGATTACTGTAGACCGAGTAAAAAGAGAATAGTGTGGGTGTGAAAAAATAGGAGACAAATCATAGTCTTGAAATTTGTAGTGGAACAAGACACCTTTGATGTTATTAGTACTATCACACCTTAGGATGGGTTAACAAAATACCTTAAAGTAAAATTTTGGGAGAATTTAGAAGGCTTATTTCAGGATATACCCTAAGGAGAAAAAAAAATTCTAGGAGGAGTTCTAAATGGATATGTAGAGAGCATAACAAGAGGTTTTTAGGGCGTGCATGTGGGTATGGTCTTAGGGAGGTTAATGCAAAGGGTAAACCCATCCTAGAGCTTTCATTGGCTTTTGATCTTACGATAACCGATACATGCTTTAGAAAAATATAATTTTATCACAAATAAGAGCGAGATGACATGTTCTTGAATAGATTTCTTTCTTATTAGGAGGTCAAATGAAGATTTACTTGACTTGTAAAGTTATATTAGGAAAGAGTTTGATTATCCAATATAAAGTATTGATTACGGATGTAAGAGTCAAGATGGGAGAAAAATGAGTAAGTCACTTGAAAGCTCCACAAATCAAGTGACGACATTTGAAAGGTGAAAATGAGGGATTTTTAAACACAAGATCTTAAAGGAATGGTTTAGACAATGTTAAGTGCAAATTTTGACTTAAATCTTTCTTGGCATTTTTTAACTCATTTCACATGTTTTAATAGATTTATTTCTTATTCTTGTGTGATTCTTCAATATATTTCAAATACCTTTGAATTTCTTGATGTGTGTGCTATTGTGCAGGATATATGCATAAAACATCAATGATTAAGACAAAAAGGATTGGACAAGGAGGCCAAAGAAAAGAAGAGGAATTAGCAAGTTCGTTGTGCGAGCACCACCAAGGTGAAAGTGAATGCTCGCTGTGCAAGGTTCCGGAGAAGCTCCAGCGAGTCATCCTAGATTAGAGGCAGTAGGAAAAAGACCCTAAGTTTGCTGGGCGAATCTGTAGCGAAGAGGTTCGTTGTGCGAAGAAGTGTTTGCACTACGAACTCAGATATTTTCCAAGGGCGACTTAACTGTTCCTAAGGCACTTGAAGTGCCTAAAAGTGGTTTTCGCTAGGCAACTTAGAAACCATCCCAACTTGTCCACCATGTTCAAGAGAATTAACATCTGTATAACCAATGCCCCAACCATGATAGTTACTACTGATGTCCATGAGCCTTGGCCAACAAAAGTGGACTCCACAGCTGCAATTCCAGTGAGTAAAGGACCTCCCAATGCAAGATACTATCACTTTGAACAATAATTTATGCTTAATAACTAGGACATATCTTCCACGTATGAATTTGGATGCTCAAAACCTATGAAAAATACTCTTATATAATGATGTGCGACTGAAAACCGCCTTGAATTCGTGTAGAAAGTGTTGAGAGAAAGTAGGGAAGTGGGAGGAGAATGAGCTAATTTTGTTTCCATGTTTTACTGATTCTACGCGTCCATGAAAAACTCTATGAAGTGGTGGCGAACACCATACACCAGAAAGTAGTAGATTCTGCACTTTTCTTCATTTCCTTGCTCTTTTCGTGGTTTTCTTGCATAGACACTTCTTTTTTGTCAAATACCTGAAACACAAACATAATACGACATAATACTACGAAAATAATAATAATAAAATGACACTAAAATGTATGCGACTCAAGTCGAAATATACGATATATTTTCATGTTATCAAACTCCCCCACACTTAGACGATTGCTTATCCTCAAGTAATCAACCAACACGGTAGAAAGAAATAAGCACGGTTCAAAACAAAAGTACAACGAGACTCTAATCATACATGGCTGCTAGGCTAGTGTTAGATCGATAGGTACTAAATGTCAATATCAAGGATACCGTAATGACATAAATTCACGTTTCATGGTAAAAAAACTCCCCCTTTATGCAAACCAATCTGAATCATGCCATTATAACTCAACCTAGATCTCTTGTTCCTTTTTCACCCTATTTCATTCAAGCGCAATCACATTAAGTCTGTTATCTTTTCAAACTCATGGTATGTAAACCTGTTAGTGACTATGATCTCATTGTTACTTAATTTTTTTTCTTTATTTTTTTTTATAGGAAATTAGGCTTAAGTATCAACTGAACTTAAAGAATTTGCACCGTTAGTCTAAGTGATCGGGTTAGGATCACCTAACTTAGAAGGAACACATCTTGTCATTCATTTATCTCTTAGGATTTCATTTTAAGCCTGAAATCATACACTTATTGGCATCGACTTTTGGCTTAGTGCGTGCTTAGGATGGTGCTGACTGCTATTATAAACTACTTAGGGGTAACTTTAAAATTGAGCTTAAGGTCTCGATATAATGGGTACTCAAATTGATTTTGCATACTTAGGGAGTTTAGGGTGTCAGAATGGTATCGATTTTATCGAAATTTTCCCAAATCTTTCTAACACAGCCTAAAATGAAAACAACCTATATACTTTCAGAGTGTCGTGCTATGAACCAAAAAGAATTTTTTTTTGGGTCAAAATTTAGGGAAATTCAATAAATAACTGAAAACCACACATAACGACTCGACAACACATGCAATGACTCGACTAAATACTGAAAGTAAATGAAATTCCAAGAACATGAAATAAACTACCAAACAATAAATCTAACTAGAAAGCAATAAAGATAAAGCGATAAAGTTCCTCCCCTACACTTGAACCAAAAACTGTCCCTAATGTTTTGATACAAGGTGGAAAAGGAGTAAAGAAACCTGTACGGAGAGCTCAGTAATTGTCGTGGCCCGCCCTCATCCATATCCACCTCTACCATGCTGAGGTTGTAGCACACCCACATACTGCATATACTCTAAAAAATTCATCATCCCTACACGCAATCCTGACATCTCCTTGATCAGATCCACCATGTTATGCTTTGTGTGTCCCGCGTAGTCATGTTGCTGCTTCTATATCTGCTGGATAATGGCCATCATGTCGGCCTACTGCCTCTGCATATGTCTAAGCAGCTGGTTGCGCTCGGTGTCTATATCATTTTGGTGTCGCATCTTGCTAAGAACATCGCCATGCGCGATCCTAATCATGGTGTAGTCATACTCCTCTCGAGACTGATGTCTATAAGAGGCACCTGCAAAAGTATTAAAAGAACCATGTGTAGTGTGTGTCCGTGCAACAGGGTTAGTCACATAGGTGGGAGCGTCTCGCTCCATATGGTCAAACTCGTCGTCAATCAAACCACCATCATTATCCTACATGGGTATGTTAGTGGGGGTAGGTGTTAGATGCAATAAAGCAGCAAGCAAAAAATATTAAGTACCCAGTTTTGTCATCTCCACAGGGATTAGTGCGATATGAACGTCGTTCAACGCCCTCTACATTTCTAAGCTTATTGTTCAAAAGTTTTGGTTTAAAAGGTTCAATGAACCATAGATAAAAACAGAAATAATAAATTTAAACTGAAATATAAACGGAGCCTTGTTGGGATTGGATTTCATCAATTGATAACATATGTATTCTTCTGATCAAATTAAATACAACGCAATCATTCGTCTAATATCATCACGTATCACCCACGACAAAACTTATCTCTAATGCAGCGTCGAGAGAACAACCATGTTGTCTCATTGGTGATCTCTCATCCAACAAAAACACAACACATAGCATTAAGATCTGATACTCAAGCAAATGCCAAGCCTAAACCTACCTCTAGCGTTTAGGACCTAACAGGTAAGCATCCTAGATCCAGATCTGAATAGTGTATCTCTATCATAGTTCAAATCAAAGATAAACAAGTAAGCAAAGACGACACCCATATCAGATAAATGATTGTTTCATATAAAACACAATGATCAAAATACGTACACACGCTTAACCCTTTTTACATGTATTCACCTAATCTGCCAAATGGTTATGAACATCATTTTTCATCACTATTCTCATATACCCACACAATATCATATTGATCCTACCCATGCTACCCATGCTACTTAATCAACACAACACCATAGAAGATACAATGAATATCAACTTCAAAACCATGTCAAAAGTTTGTTCATTGATAGAAGAAAATCTGAGATCAAAGATGTGAAAAGATTTTGTCAAGACCCACAAATACATAATCAAAGATAATCAATCAATAGAGAATCCAAACTACTTTACAAACATAAATTAGATGAAATACATAAGGTATCAAAAGATTATATCCAAACCCCAACAAGA